GTTTAGACTATAGCTCATATGACCAGAACTTTACCTACACACAAAAAGGCTCCGACATGATCCCTAGATGGTTCGCTTGAGCAGCACTACAAAAAAAAATGCCTGATCCCAGGAAGGTTCTAGACAAAAAAACACATCCTCCTGCATGATGCTATGATCGTTCCAGCGAACAGCTTTGTTGCTCAAGTGAGTAGTGCTTCTTGGTTGTTAAACCTAGTAAGATAATATTCCTTATATAAGTACTATACCCCAAAAGGAGGATATAATCTTACTCTATATTGGGTACCATAGTATCCCCAAATAAAACACTACTCAAATGATGATTTAGCTCACGACTCCTTTCGCGAGCCATGGCTGCATCACACCTCGACTTGAGCGGCACCATGGCACACCCAGAGAGCCCAATATACCTTTACTGGAAATGCCACAGAAAATACGAGGATCCCTATTATGATTTGAGGAACATGCCTCTATCCACTGTGTTGGGCTTTTAGCACACGGAAGGTGGTGTGGAGGGTGGTGCGGGCACGCAGAGACCGATCTACCAAAAACCATGCCTCATGTAAGTCTATTGGTTGGAGTTCTTACCGCTATCTAACTGATTGTTCCAGGAATACAGTCAAACATGCACTGCAACATGCGTGCATTAAGGTTCTAGGGTTTATGGTTTTAAAGTCAGTAAGCTGAAGATTTGCCATGCGAGTCTGCTACCGCGGTTCACCCAATCATGTTGCTTCACAAGTACAACTGGAATAGGGAGTAAACCACTGCAAACCAAACTAATCCCTAAATCTCCAGAAGTAAACATACTACCACTCAAGGTTAGGCCTACCCCCTTGTAAGGCTCTCCACAAACGCCCTCCAAATCACAGGCTTCTTGACCACAGTTTCAGGTTCGTACCCATTGAACATAGTGGTCTGCACCAAGAATGGGGTGGTTGTCAAAATCATGGTCCCTTTTTGGGTACCCTAAATATTAGGTTGTATTATAATAGGGATCCAAAAAGGGCCCATAATTTTGACAACCACCCATGTGATGATTGTGAGGCTCTGATGCAAAACCCCAGACGTCCTCCAAAGGCGTACAGCTTTGAGGGTCCAACCCGAAACCCTCAACCCCTGCTTACCCCAACGCCAACAACCCCAGTAATGGAGACTCAAAAAAAAAAAGAACGTGGAACATGAAATGAAAGCTGGGTGTACATGGGCGGATTCTTACTCCCCAACTGTCTGGGGGCTCTGACGCCATGTCTTGGACGTCTTGGAGGCAGCCGTCGAAGTCTTCTCTGTTCTCCTCCTCGCGGAGCAGCCGAGTTCTGGGGAATTAGAGGGTTGAGGAGTTTAGGATTTCAGGGCTTTGGTGTAGTGCTCAGGGCTTAGCAAAACTATTCAGACTTCGTGGCTTCATGAACATAAAGCCATTTATCACACTATTCCTTGTTGATCTTCCTGTTTTGACCCTGAAGGGTGGCTCTGGGTTGTTGAGCGGTGATTATTTCTTCTCCTTCTTCACATGGACCTTACAACCTCCACGTCCACGGTTCTGTCTAAGTAGCAAGGACAATTACAGTAGAAGGGTTGCATCAGGTAATTTGGAGTGCGGAGCGCAGGGTGTCCTCTCATGCCCAACTTTCAAACGAAGAGTCACGCTGCCAGGCCCCCATGCTACCACACTTGACTTGCCCTTAAAAAGAGCCACAACCCCTATATAACTATATAACCCTATGTCCCCTTTAAAGGTACCCCTGCTCTTGGGAAACCGAGGAACCCTAGACCCTAAACACTAGTAGTCATCACATCTCATCAGACTTGGAGGGTTGCACGGAGCTAGTTACGCCAGCTAAGCATCCCCATTTGTATTGCCGATGGGCTCCTCATTCTGCGATCGCCATGGGCTTTGCATGGCTTTGTCGCTCGAGGGCGGTTTCTTCGAGTCTAGGGCCACGCTCGTGCTTAGGGGTATTTCAAGCTTCCGCGGGGCATACGCGATAGATCAGCTCTAAGTTTAGGGCGCACGGCTTCTGTCCATATTCAGGGATGAGTCGGGAGAAGGGTCCTATGCTCCAAAGCACTCTAAGCTCCTATGCAGTTCCATTCTTTTCGTAAAGGTTAGATTGGAACCGTGAAAAGGAATCGTGCTGCGATAGTTGCAGGCAGCTCACCTCACTTTCTGCTAGGAAGTTCTGCTCTCTTCCTACCCAGTCCTCAATCGCAGATCAATTGAATGTCGCCCTATTTCTCGGAAGCGCAGCAACGCCCAGCACTAAGCCAAACAGTTCACCATGCTTTTGCATTTGCGTTCAACTCGCGCGAGCAGCAGAGAGCAGGCAAGCGCTTTTCTCGGCAGAGCCGCAGATGCTCGAGCGCTTGGCTGGCGCTTGGGCAACCGTGTACGGCTAGTCCTCGGGTCAGGGGAACCAAGCATCGTAAGTTACACAAACAGAGCAGACCAGTGACGCCTGTACCATGTTTCTGATATTACAGGCACATGTTGTTCTCATGACTATTACTACTAGCGCAGAATTTTTGCCATGCTTCCAAAGCCTTGTCCACATCAGGCCAGCCCGCATCGTAGCCTTTCCTGGCCGAACACGGACGATGCAAAGCAATGTCAGCATCAGTTACAGGAAGTGGCACAGACTGGCACAGACTAAGGGGCTCTATCAAAAGCAAATTTTCGTATGGTGGGAAGGGTTCATGGTCCATCATAATCAATACTATTCCCAGGAATAAGCCAGACACGTGGGAATGTGTCCAGCCAGGTTGTAGAGAATTGTGTCATTAGAATCTAGCGGAAGCTCTCTTGAATCGAAGGGCGTGCAGGCTAGATACCTCCGCAGGAAGCTAGATGATCGCAACTGCGCAGAGATAGGGCTGATGAACTGTAAAGGATTCTGACCGATACTGCTCAAGCCGATACAAAACAAAGTGCAAGCATCTCGGCCATGATAACACTTGTCCTGGAAAGTACATCTCCAGGATAACCCTTCATCCTTCCCTAACCTAAGATTGAGGGTTTTGGGTCATTTGGGCTTGCAATGTGGAAGAGCTCCTGATTGAATAGTCCCAAGCCGCGAGAAACTAACACCGGGGTGGTCATCATAGTAGCAGCCTGAATGAGGTAACCCGCACTTTCTGGATTGCGAGCAAATTCTTCACATCTATACTTGCGCAATGTTCCCCACACGCAACAGAAGTTGTCCTCTGGCACCTCCGATTTTCGAAGTGCAAACCATGAGCGGGCACCCTGAGGAGCTCCCATGCAATGTATACTTGCTTGCTGCAGAGAATACTGTCATGGCATTCGGGTCCATATAAACAAGAAATCCTGATGGCTTCATGGGGATTATACAGCGATTACTTTCAACAATAATCGATCCCATGAATGTCCCAGAATAGACCAGGGGTCCAAGCCTTGCTCGACTTAGGATCCAAGGACCTTGTACCCTTAACAAGGGATATGTGGTCCCTAAAAGTAAGTATGTAGGATCTATATATATATATATTTCTATATGCATATGTATATAGCTGGAGATAGTGGAAGGTAAATGGAGCCACACTACGCTCGGAGAAATCTAACGAGATCATAGTAGATGCTCCTCTAAGCTCCTCGCATCCCCCTTCATAAGCCCTATAATATCTCCCATATAATTTCCCATATCATATAACCCCCTTTAGGAGTTTAGACTATAGCTCATCTGTGGTAGGATCTGTATTTGCGGTCCCTCAAGCTGAACACCAACTATTTACACTCACTTCTTGAGGAATCCTATCTACACTCACCAGGCAGCCCGAAGAGAAACTCTACTTCCTATCTAGCCGAGCAGGCTCACCCTAACCTCCCTCCCTCAACCCTGAACCCTGAGCCCACAGCCCTGAACCATAAGCCGTAAGCTCAACCTCAAGCCCTAAATCCCAAACCTCTCTGCATCGCTGTCCAGGAAGTAAATCGAGCCAGCCAGGCAATCCACACTCTTGCTCAGCTGTGAGGAATGCCTCCAAGTTTTGCCAAGCCAGAATCAATGCACGCGGTTTGCTTTCACCAACCTAACATGGACTCTCATGCAGTCTCTTACACAAACAGTAGTCCTTGCAAGTAGGGAACTTTTGGGAGGGCAGGCTGTAAAGTCACTACAATACATGAGCCATGGTCCAAACTTCTCGTATCCACCTTAACAGCCCCTCTGGTAGTCCCCCATGTGATCCCCTATATAACCCCCTTTAAAGAATTTAGACTACGTATAGCTCATATAACACTTGGAGGAGCCTCGGGGACTTGGGGCTCAAGTACTGGTAAGGGAGCTACGGAAGACTTTGAAGAGACGTCACATGATTCCTATAAGCCACTATCAAATCTCTGACCAGTCAGTTTTGAAAGTTCTTATCCATTTGATTCTCGATGGTTGGGGTCCCTAGTTGGGAGTACACACCAGAAAAAGTATAGACTTTTTAGGTATAAGTCGTTAGACTAAGACTCAGGAATCAAAAAACGTATTAAAGTGTAGTACTGCAATATGGTTGGGGTAGCATCCTTTAACCCAATGAACAGCAGCTCTGGGCCACCCAACTTGCTTTGTTTGGTCGAGGTATCGCCTAAGTACTCACCCTAAATTCTAAACCCTAAACCCTATAAACTACCCAAAAACCTCAGTTTCTATTTCCTTCCCCTTTTTCTTTCCCCTAAATAGTAGCTTCCATTTTCTTTTCCATTATCCCTATATATCCCTATATAACCCCAAGATACTGAGCTGTGGTCAGGACCCGCCAAAGGCTCGAACAGTTCAACACGCGCAACTCCTGTACAGGGTTTAGGGTTTAGGGTACAACACAATCTCAAATCCAGGTTTGGGGGTTCAGGATTTGTTGGAATAGTGGGGTCTTGAAGATCAAAATCCATGTCCTATTTTGGGGTATCCTGACATAGGTGCGACCCACGAAAGGACCTTGACAACCTACCATATCATGCGACATCATAGGCTTGCTGGCGGCTCTGGCATCTCAAGATTCCTGCTGTGCCGACAATTGCTACAGAAGGCTGCGCGACCCCCAGGAGTCTGCAGCAGTCGTCTTGGGGAAGGATGCTTGCAATGTAGAAGCCCACTGCCAACATGTTGTTCAGGTCTATTGAGTTACCCTATACTGCAATTCTACGAGGAATGTTGTCGCGGCTCCAAGTAATGATCCCTAGAAGCCCAGGTACCCATATAGTAGGTTCTTGGGTTATAGATAGTATAAGTTTATATAGGGACCCAGGGACAGGGACCCAATATGTAGGTAACTGGGCTTCTAGGTGATTGAATCGTGCCACAGATTTCTGGCAGCTCTGCTCTGTCACTCTGTTGGAAACCAACCCCTTACCCCTACACCGAGTCATCAAACAAACCATAGCTCTGGAATTCATGTCTATGCATAATATCATAAAATCTACGCTGGGTCCTAAAATCTATAGCAAATGCCGACTTAACTACAGAGCCACAAACCTTCGAAGCCCAGCGCCTAAACCCTTGATTAAATCGAAACCCTTAATTAACCTTTAATCTTTAACCCGACATGATATATACTAGGTTCCATTTTCGTTTACATTACCCATATATTAGCCTATAGAACCCTTCCATTTTCTTTTACGTTACCCATATATACATATATATATATATGCCCGTAGAACCCTACACTATTCATATCCATCTCAATCCCCTGCCCCTAATATTTCCCCCCCCCCCCCCTAACATTGAATACTCCCCAGTGTGGTCTATTGTAATAAATCAATTGGGAATATTGAAAATTTGGGGTTGGGGGGGGGGGTTGAAATTAGCGGGGAAGGATTAACGCATACGCAGCAGCTCCTGACCATCCAGTTTGCAGTGCAAGGTGAGCTCTGACTCCCCAGATTGAGTCCAGCCTCGGGTTCATTCAACCTAAGGGCCCAAGTACCCAATTATTCGGTCCTTTTAAAGCGGATTATAGGGATTTAGGGTTTAGGATTTAGGGTTTAAGGGCCCTGAGGGTCCAAGTACCCAATAATCAGGTACTGAGGATTTGGGTAGTAGTAATTGCAGTACAGGTTTTTGGAAAATTATATGATTATTGGGTACTTGGACCCTCAGGGTCACAAAAGACATGCTAAACGTGGGGTTTATCAAAAAGAAGGACCCCTAGGGGCCATTGGGATATATGGGCATTATACGGGGATTACGGAGGATTATAGAGCTCGTTATTAGGGATTATATATGGGAAACTCCCCTATGACACTATATTCGAGCACCCTTTCCACAAACAAGATGGAAAACCATATCAACTTAAAACCTGAAGCCCTCAGCCCGCCCCTTTCAAGACGACAGCGGTCTTTGTGCAGAGTCCCACTTGGGCCTCCATGTTGGCTTTAGGATGAGTATGTAGCACTTCTAGGCATACATGGTAGTTTCCCAAAATAGGGGGGGACCCAATATAGGCTCCAAAAGGATATAAACCGTATTTTTGGGGACCCCAAAACAGGTACCCCTAATTTTGGGAAAACCCCCTCAAGATCATTTTGGAGCACTCCTGGGCGAAGCGAGTTGAGGGCTTGGCTCCAGGCTTTAAACAACTTGCATTCCAGGACTTGTACGACCTAGATTTGGAGCTTATATGGGTTGTTCTCAGAATTATGGGCCCCTTTGGGTCATAGAGTATATTACGGCACCTAATACTTAGGGGTACCAAAAATGGGACCCCAATTTAGGGAACTACCCATATAGTGTAACCTTTGTGGTCTCGGTTTGATGTTACTTTGGGATTCTGCGAGCAGAGACTGGAGAGTCAGTAGCCGGCCCTTCAACCCTAAACCCTAAACCTAAACCCTAAACCCCAAACCCTAAACCCTAAACCCTAAACCCTGGAGAGTCAGTAGCCGGCCCTTCAACCCTAAACCCCTAAACCTAAACCCTAAACCCTAAACCCTAAACCCTGGAGAGTCAGTAGCCGGCCCTGCGGTCTGCTATCGGCTTGGGGCTTCATCCTTGAAATCCATCTGAACTATATTCTAAACTCCTCTATATTGGGGTTATGTAAGGATAATGGAAAAGAAAATGGAAACTACTATAGTATATAGGGTTTAGGGGTTTTGGGGGTTTAGGAACAACGACTATAATAGTCCCCGACATAAGCCCCCATATTTCCCCCTTCAGGAATTTAGACTATAGCTCATCTCATCTCGATCAGGATTTGCTGAGCTCTTAACCCGCAAGATCTTGAACTTCCGAGCCCCAGACCCTACTCCACTACACCCTGCAGCCCAAAATGCAAACCGGGTTCACTCTACATGGGTCCCTCCGCTCTGCCGTGGATCTTACGCCGCGGAGCGGTTCTCTCTTAACACGCTTTCACTGTGATTCCCCCAAAAAGGGCCAACTTAGGCCTGTACGCCTGCAGAAGAATTGAAAATCCTACAGGCCACACCCCAAAACCAAACACATAAAAAATGAAGAGCGCCCTAAACCCTGAATCCTAAACCCGAAACCCAACCCCACATGCCCAGTGTATTTTGAAAGAGTACAACAGTTCTTTCTGAGCCTTAGGCCGAGGTAGGGTCCTTGTACCTGGCGCCGTTTGGTAGAGTAGAGGCCTAACCGCCCTAACTACTTTGTCGAGGATCTAGTCTAGGATGTAGGACTTAGCATGTAGGGTACGTAGCAGCCTAAACAAATAGAAAAGGTGGAAATCTGCAAGGCAATTGAGTTTAGGATGCATTTCTGGTTTTGAAGGTTGGGAATTGAATGCAGGCCCTCCACCCCCCAAAAAGACGATATGCTGCATGGGAAGGTCTTGGAAAGCATAGAGTAAAACAATCAGGCTCCAAGCTTTTAAGCTTAGGACTTATGCGTGTCAAACAAAGAGTGCAGTGGATTCATAGAGATTTCCTTGTAACTTAACTTGGGATGCAGAGCATGCGGCTGGGATTGCATGGGACACTATCCAAACCTCTAAACTTCAAACTCCAAACCCCAGTACTTACTCTTGGTTAGCTAGGAATGAAGGAATGGATCCTTATAGTCATCCCTATATTACCCATTATAGTAGTTTCCATGTTCTTTTCCATTCCTTCGTTCATAACTAACCAAAGGTAAGAATATCAGCGAGCCCTGCCGGTGCCTGAGGCAACGCGCAGATTGGACTTGACCTGGCGCGTCTGAATCCGTGTTTCAAGGCTTCTGCCTGGACTTGCAAATGGTTTAAGGGAGGCCTTGTTTAGGGTCTAGGGGTTTAGGGGTGTAGAGTTTAGGGCAAGTTTACGGGGTTAGGGTATTGGCAGCCTCGGCCGTTGGGGCTTTGAAAGGGCTAGGTCTCTGATGGGCGCGGCAAAATCCCCGGCTGCTGATATCAAACCTCACGGACTCGCTAGGGCTTAGGGGTCCCCACCAGCCCGTATGCAGCCCACCCAAATAGAGACGTGAAGCTCAGCTAGGGATGGACAGGACTACTTCTGGCCTTAAGAGGCTTCGTGACTTCTCTGGCCTTCCCTGACAAATCACGAATGTCTGTACTTGAGATTATCCTCAGCAACAGAACTTCTACAGCACACACCGAATCGTTGAAACTCAAGAACAAGTGTTCGACACGTAGAGCGATGTTCAAGAATCCTTGCTTGATAGTGTGGGGTGTTTACATCTCGCATATGACTTTGGATCACCCTCATTCGTGAGAACTATTGTGCTACTCAAAGCCCCCGGATTCCTAATCCCAAAGCACCAAAGACCGACTCCTCCAACTTCCACAGCAAGAGCCATCAAGTTGGACTTTCTGCGCCCCACCCGTAAGGGTCTAAGTAGCCAATAGTTAAATACTTAAGATTTGAGTAATTGTAGTAGAGGTTTAGGGGAAGTATATGATTATTCTGTACTTGGACCCTTTAGGGTTCTACCCCAGGACCTCAGAGAGATAGATCCTAGCATCATGCCTCCTGCGTCCATGTTCCATCTTGCTGGCCTTTACTCTGAATCCCGTTTCCGTAGTTTAGGCTTTGAAGGCCTCAAAACTCTTCACTCAAACCTTGAACACTGAACCCTTATGAAAAGCCTCCCTGTAGGTAGCCACGGCTTGAAGCTCCCACTGAAGTGAAGCCTCAGTGCTTGGAGCGTCAGGGGACTTAGAAAGTAGCTTTTTGATGGGGATAGCTGGAGATGTCAGATGGCATAAAAGGGTCATGTAAACATGTTTACTAAGTCCCCCTGACCCCCCCAAGGGTCCCAAAACTGGGGTCTCTCGACACTCCAGCTTCAGTTTTGGAGTCCCTAAGGCACGGGCTCTGGGCGACTAGTTGCAGGAATACGTTTCCAAAGCCCTAAACCCCAAACCCTAAGCCTGAGACTTCGTACTTAGGGCCGCTTGTCTGGCTTTCGTAAGGAAGAATTGGCGATTGTTATGACCCTTTCTGGAAGTTATAGAAACCCTACCGGTAATCATACATTCTCCTCAAAACCTGTCCTACAGTTTCTAGCGCCAAAGTCCCAAATGCCCAATTATTGGGCACATGGACCCTTAAGAGGAAGGTTCCTAGCTCCGAAACCCTTAAGAGGAAGGTTATGGGCACGTTGCTTTGCAAGCTTGCGGTCACTCTTGCTTTCGAATCGCCATCAGCTAAGGCCTGGGCAGCTTTGATCCAGCCTGGCATTCGACTTTAAGACTAGTAATAATTAACAATAGTATTAGTAATAGGAAAAAACAAGAATACTAATAATGGGTTGTAGGATCTTATAATCAGCATAATAGGGTTGCTCCGGGCGTTCTGCAGGCGCTCTGAAGGGAGTTATTTCTTGTTGAAATTATGTTGGTACGTGTTCCCAGCGAGGAGCTCCCAATCCCATTAAGAAAAACCGCAAGATTTCAGACAGTACAAGGAAGTGCTGCAACACATGGATTTTCATTTGCTTGTCGAAAAATTGGCATGATGTCATCTCGGGGATTTCTTTGAGAACTACCCAAGTCATAATACTCTGGAGACTGCGAGGTTCTGCCTGGGATTTCTACATGGCACGCCTACCTTGGCCAGTGTAGCTGTTCGACGGCAGTGAAATCAAGTTGTCTGAGAACAAGGCCTACATGATTACGTGATCAATCCGCGGCGGTAGCAATGAATGTGACTTGCAACCATGCCATTGCAACACACAACAAGAATTCTGAAACATGAAGCTCAGCTAGACGTCCGCATTGCAAGCAGTCAGCCCTAAGGCATCATGCACGGGTTTCCAAAATTAGGGGTTCCAGTTTGCAGGTCCCCTTAATAAGGACCATGATGTTTTAGGGTCTACAAATGACTTCCCACATTTATGGCAAACCCAATATGGCTGTAGATCACAGCTCTAGCTAGTCGTAGAAAACCCCAATGCCCTTCTGTCGCTGCACTTTGTTATATGCTTTTGTCGCAAGCAGGACAAGTCTGTTACATTGGCAGACCGCTGGCTGAACTCCCAACCATGAGACTCGAAAGCCATCGAAAACCCGAACCTTCCGCACACAATTCCTAAATGCAGACGGGAAGACCCCCCAAAAGAATGAACCGTAAACCATACCGCGTACCCTAAACCCTAGTCTCTAAACCCCCAACCCTAAACCCTCTGGAGCAGGCTGCAAAAGCTTGACGGCACCACCGTGCAGATATGGAGCGCAGGCTGCAGGCGCCCAGATGAGCTGATCCCCATTTCCTTGGGGCTTTAGAGGGATTAGGGTTTAGGGTTAAGGGATATTTGGGGATATACAGAGGGTTTAGTGTCGAGGAGGGATATCTGGGGTTATAGATGGATATGGAGGTTTCCCAAAAAGTTGGGGGTACTTTTTGGGGGTTTAGGGCTTAAGGTTAATAATGAAGCTGGCATGAGAAAGGGTTTCGCAAATTTTGGGGTAGTTTGTTGGGGTACCGGGGTTCAGGATTACAGCATTTTGGGGTCTATGTTGGGGTCCCCCCATCTTGGGAAGTTATATACGTAGGGTTAGATATTTTGGGAGGTTACCTCTCGATACTGGAGAATCAACTTGAAAAGAATATGTACATGAGATCGAAAATGGGGTCATATATGGTGTTTATCTGACCTCTGGTTCGTAGGGCATAAAGGACTGGAAAAATGTGGAAGCGACTACTAGACGGATCCATTCCCTAGATAAGTCAGGGGGTCAGGATGTTCAGGGCTTGGACTGTATAGGGCTTATGATGTCGGACCTGGGGCTTGAGGAGTTCTACGGTACTGTAACTAATACCGTAGATCCTGCACCTTGAGGCTTCGGCCTCAGGAGCTATGGCTATAGGATTTAGGGTTCAGGGTTTAGGCTTTCGGGTATAGCCCTGACACTTGGAGATCTCACCCCTAACAATTGACTCTAAAGCCTACGACCTAAGCCCTGTCAGATGCTGAGGAAATCCTGCGTGTACTGAGACCTGGACCAGCCGCAGCATGTCCTTCATCGGACACGAAGGGGAAAGCGTTCACTTTTTGCTCATCTTGTTTTTGATGCCCCCCCCCCTCCCCCCAGACAAGGAAAATTCATGCTGTTCTTGTCGATCTAGCCGGCAACCGAAGCGTTCAGCATTGCTTGAGGGCTGCTGTTTGTATGTTTCTTCAGGGCACTTCGCACAAGAATCCATCACAAAAACAAGCCTTGCGCAAAACATATTCACAGACTGCATAAAGTGAATAGTCATTTCAAAACACTTGATATCTGCGTAGTCGCTGGTTCTGTCGGTTCTGTCTACTGCATGCATATTGCATCCGTCGTGCATTCCACTGGTGCATGTTTAGACTTTGATTTAGCACAGGCCAAGGTGTGCAGCTGAGTGTAGCACCCCGGAGGAGATCTCGAAATGAAACTGTTGTACTGTTTTCTTGCACTGTTCCTCCCCCGTACTCTATAACAGGTATGTGCAGCGGGAACGTATGCCGTTTACCCAAATTCATAGTAGAGCCTCAAAGTACAGCATCGCTGTGAAATTGGTTGATGGTGGAATTTGCCAACTGCAATCCCCACATATCCCCTCTACGATTTCCAGCCCTACCAAGAATAGCTACATTAATGCCTTGATGCCAAAGCCTGGCCCTTGATTCTAACACTCCCCTGAGGGGCCTCACTCAAAATAGGAGGCCCCTAGGGACCCGAGGGATACATACGGATCATAAGAGGAGTATAGGCACTCTTAATAGGGTTAGTTTCACAAAGCTCCTGGTTTCCTTACACGGGCCTTCTTAAAAGCTTCATGATCATAAGCTGCATGTTCGCAATTGTTATTCCTTGCCGTATCATTCTGCATATACCACATCACAAGCCCTGAGCCCTAAACACATCGCTACTTGGAAATTCATCCCAGCCTCCCGCGCCAGGCCCATCTTAAGAAGGCTCTTTGTCTCTTGAGGCGTTAGCTCCTGGCAGGGCATCTAGACTTCAAGATTTAGGGTTTCATGCTCTAGGGTCTAGGGGTTCAAGGGTTTTTGGGCTGTTGTTGGTTTTCTAAACTGGCCTCAGAACCCCACTAGAAATCAGAAACTTTTGGTTATTAGGGCTATACTAACAAAAAATCAAAAAATGTTGGAGGCCCCTATAGTTTTACGGTTTAGTAAAGGGCTCCGGGCCCTCTCTGAATTCTTACCCAGAGGTTCCATGCACCCAACAATTAAGTACTTGGGGTTCTCTTCATAGTAATCATTGTACAGGTTTGGGGTAAGTATATGCTTATTGGGTACTTGGACCCTTAGAGTTACAGCAATTCCAAGTTATGCCTTTTCCAAAGGAGCGGTGATGACACGCCCATGAAAGGTAGTGAGGCAAACATATGGGTTATACAGTATACAGCCCCCCCTAAGTAGATAGAATATGGGATATGTGGAGGTCTT